TGTGTGTGTGTGTGTGTATGTGTATTTACAAACATGTATATAATGCTGTATAAGCTAGGACTGGATAGGACTATTCTGTTTTCTTTTCCAAGGCAGCAAAATTTTCATTTTTTATAAGTTGTGGTCTTAAAACATTTTCTACTCATAGAAAACTGCATTAAGAGGAAGTCCAAGCTGCTTTGAAGGAATTGGCAAAAATAGAAGGCTCCAGGAATTGATGGAATACCAATTGACATATTTCAACAAACAGATGCTTTCCTGGAAGTGTTCACCTAGGCTGTGCCAAGAAATCTTGAGGACAACCACCTCGTCAAATGACTGGAAGAGACACAGCAACCCCTATTGTCCCATTTACTGTGTCAATCCATCTCATCCAGGGTCTTCCTCTCCTGCGCTGTACCTACACCCTTCTGAGCATGGTGTCCTTTTCCAAGGACTGCTCTCTCCTGTCTATGTGCCTAAAGTATTTGAGACAGAGCTTCAAAATCCTAGCTTCCAACGAGAGACTTGGTTTAATCCTCTCCATCACAGACCTATTTGTTTTCTAGGCAGTCCATGGTATATTCAAGACTCTTCTCCAGTACCACAACTCAAAGGCATCAATTCTTCTTCTGTCATCTTTAGTCATTGTCCAGCTCTCTGAAGCATAACACATACCAAAAAAATATGAGAAGTTATATATAAAGGTGTAATTTTAAGACATTGAGATAAATGGATCATTTTATAAATAGTGTAGGGATAAATTAAGGGATGTTGTTTGTTGTTGTTGTTGTTGTTATGTGCTGTCGAGTCGCCTGCAACTCATAGCGACCCTATGAACAACAGCCCTAAACGCTGCTCTGTCCTGTGCCAAATGCACTGTCTCTGACACTACCATCCCGATTATCCCAGTCACTGAATCAATCCACCTCATAGAGGGCCTTCCCCTCCTGTGCTGCCCCGCCACCCTCCCAAGCATGATGTACCTCTGCAAGGACTGGTCTCTCCTCACAACATGTCCAAAGTATGTTAGAAGGAGCCTCAGAATCCTTGCCTCCAAGGAGCCACCCAGTTTAACCCTTTCCAGGATGAATCAGTTGGTTTTCCTAGCAGTCCATGGTACTCTCAATACTCTTCTCCAGCACCACAGCTCAAAGACATCAATTTTCCTTTTATCCTCCTTGGTCATTGTCTAACTAGTTGTTAAAAAATATCATTTAATCCAATTTAAAAGATCATATATCATTACATTTTAATAAAATACATTTTAATAATCAAATACATTTTAATAATCTTTTTCTAATGAAAAAATCTAAGTACTAGTACCAGAATAATAGATACAAGCATGCCTTGCTTCTTGTACTTTGCTTGAATGCACTTTGTAAATAATTGCATTTTTCACTGATTGAAGGATTTTGACCACTCTGCCTGAGCTCACCAGTCAGTGCCATTTTTCTAACAACTTACACTCTCTTCACCTCTTTATGTCACATTTTATTAACCCTTACAATATTTTAACCATAGCCCTAATGTCATTTTAATAGACCTTACTGCAGTTCTTGTTGTTAGATATCATTGAGTCAGCTTCATTCACAGTGACCTTGTGCACACCAAGAAGAAGCTTACCTGATCTCATACCAGTCACAATTTAACATAAACATACATTCCTTATGCAACGGGAAGCCACGAAACAATTGTGCTCCATTTCATTGTGGTGGTTTCAAATTGAACCCACAATATCTCTATGGTGTACCTACAGGCAGATTGACATAGAGATGCATACATTTGCATACCACGTATTTTCGGTATCTATAAACATAATATGAAACGTAGCAGCCATAAAGAAAAAGCTGGATAAAGTTAACTACTATAGGTAAAAATATAGTTGAAAATTCTAATTTTAACATGCAGAGGAAACTCAAAAAGGAAAAAAATTAGGGGGAAAATATGTGCAATCCGTATTACAAAGGTTACTTACTTTCTCTTAGAAACATGAAACGTTTTCATAAATAAACAATAAAGATATTACTAATTAACAATAAAAAAGAGAAAAGATGTAAATGCTTCACATAAAAAGAAATACAGACAGCTAACACACCCTTGACAATATTGCTAATCTCTGTTTACCTGTTCTTTTTCCTTTTTAGGTCACTTGAAAGGCCAGACTAATTGCCCTGGCTCAACAGTCCCTACACTTCAGCCTGCACTCTAAGAATTACCTAAAGAGTTTTTTACACTAGATAATTTTGTGTTCCAAGCCTATTTAGGAAATTTGGAGAGGATAAATATGTGTTTTATACATACTGGTTCCTATGTTGCTGAAACGAATGAGGCAAGATCCTTACTTTAAAAGCTCTGCCTAGCTATTTATTTTCCTTTTTCTAGATTTACTTCTAAATGACTGGGGCTGTCAGATACCACATTTCCGTCTGCCAGAGGCCTATCCACTTCAAAGGCTAACCACATACATTTTACAACTTTGCCAAAGGAGGGAATAGCCAGTGTCACCAAAGTAGCCAGAGAGAGTCATGTCTCAGTAATTACCCATTCGCCATGATTGAAAGGTAGGAGGATGACTGAGATGGCATTTTCTGGGATAAGTATGCAACGAGTGTGTAATAAGTAGGCAAGTAGCACACTTAAACTGATCTAGAAGGAGAAATCATTCTATTTCTTCCTCTACGTTTTTGAAAGACATGTCACATGTGTGATGTAATCTCTGTCAAGTTTGAGTATGATTTTAGAGTATGTACTAATATCATCCCTTTAGGAAAATGATGTTAAGTCTCAGTGGTTTTTAACACCCACTAAATAACCTGGTTTGCTGGCCACTTGTTGTCATACTTAAATTAGTTTTAATGAGGAAACAGGATGTTTACCTTCAGTGCCATTATCTCAAAGTGAACCATCAGATACACATAGTCACAACTGCTCTAGGTCAAGACCTTGATATATGACTATTTTATATATGGTGCCTGGCTGCTATTATTGAACATTTGATCAAAAAGCCTAATAGCAGAATCTTGATCAAAGGGGGTGAAATGAAGAGCAGAATTTCAAATTTTTGTAGAATCCAGACATACTGGAGTCAACATTCTGGAACCCCCAAAACAATTTCCCTGAGATAATCTTTAAACCTTAAACTAAAAATATCCCCTTATGGTCTTCCTAAAGCCAAAAAAAAAAAAAAAGAGTTTCATCTAATTAGAAAGAATGACTGCTTTAACCACCAAAATGTTTCAAGATCTATTTGGGGAATAAAGTGGTAACAGCAGCATCTGAAAGATTAGGTACTGAGTGTATGTTGCTTTATGAAAGGACGGTAAGAATCGTTGCATAACTTGAAGACTTTAATGCCACTGACATCTGACATGTGCATGTAAAAATGATTGGATTAGTGTATGTTTGACTGTGCATATTGTCAACAACAACAAAACCCAATTAAATATAAAAATTAAAGGGACCTGTACCTGTTCTAGGATGTTGTTGTTATTGTTAAGTGCCGTTGAGTCGCAGGCAACTCATAGCGACCCTATGAAGGAGAGTCCTCGACGTGTAGGTGCCTTTCATCCTCTCTCCACGTTCATAGGGTTTCCGGAGGCAAGCTGTTATGGAAGTGGATGCCACTCCTCCTTCCAAGCTGTTCTAGGATACTTTAGGGTTATTCACCAATAATTCTAAACATAAATTACCACAATCACTTGACAGAAAACTTTAGGCTAGCACTAATCCCTTTACTTTGCCTGTAGAGTTAATGTTTCTCTTTTTTTTTTGCCAAGAGATTTTCCCTGGAATGTATTGGAAGACCTGCCTTGTGTGGCATTACTTTTAAAAGATGATGGTAAACCTGTAATCATTTTGATGAATACAGTGTGTGGCATGGAAGTGACCTGCTATTTTGGAAGCTAGATGAGACAATATGTCAGAAGCACAATAACAATAATTAAATATCAATTGCATTTCTAAAATTTAATGTATACTTTCATATAAGTAAATTAAATGCCAAGGTTTGGCATCAAAGATAAATAACAGGACCAAAATAATATCTGCCTCTAGACCCAATTATTAAACTCAATAGTTTAGTAAACTCTAAATTGCTGTTGTTAGGTACCATTGAGTTGACACTGATTCAGAGCTGACCCTCCGGTAGGTTTTCAGAGGTAAATTTCATAGAAGGTAAATGTTCATCTTTCTTTCATAGAGCAGGTTGGTGGATTTCAACCACCCGGGTGTGACAGTACAGCTTCCTTAACCCTAATCTCCAAAGCTCAATAAACTTTAATAGGGAAACCAGTATTACAGATACTGAGTCTTCAGCCATTTTGTCCTTATATTTTGTCTATTATTTTTACTATATTAAGTAGTGTTTTTATATAGAAATTTATGTACATTTACAGTGAATTAGAACCTAAAATTCTTTCTCCAAGTTTGGCAAAAATGCATGTTGTTGCTTAGATAAAACTCCCTTTTTTTAAGCAAATATCTCACTTATTTTATGGGTTGCTGTTGTTGTTAAGTGCCGTCAAGTCGCAGGCGTCTCATAGCGACCCTCTGAAGGAGAGTCCTGGACACTTGGGTGCCTTTCATCCTCTCTCCAAGTTCATAGGGTTTCCGGAGGCAAGCTATTATGGAAGTGAATGCCACTCCTCCTTCCACACTTGTTCAATCGGGGAGCTCCACCCCACTCTCAGTCCGCATTGGGTAACCAACCATTAACGCATTTGACACATCCTTGTCACAGTGTTCAACCTCACAGCAACCTCAGGTGACCGCGGGACGGCAACTTGTACACCAGGGCTATACGACCTAGAGGAATGTCTGAACAAAAACAATGAAAGACTGGATGAAGGGCCACAAACTAAAAGTCACCCACCTTTGTCTTGGTCACATCATTTTCTCTTCACTGGGCCAGCTGATCTCTCTCTCTCTCTCTCTCTCTCTCTCTCTTGATGTTATTATATGGGTAGGAGAAGGAAAAGAGGAAAGATTGGATTAAAGCATCTTCAGAGCATATTAAGTATTAATATTTCATGTCTCTTTGTTTCCATGACAATTAATATCCCAGTAGATAAACAGAAGTAGCTACTATTTCTCCACCCATGCCCTTCAGTAAGCTTTGCCTCTTGGAGGTTTGTTGTTTTTTTTTTTAAATCATCTCACTGCACCCCCAAGGCCTGAATACAAATAATGTGATTAGCTTTAAGTGTTCACTTCTAAGTTATGGCAGAATCTTTTAAATATGTATATGAAATCATTGTGGTGGTTGTTGCCAAAGACAAGGCTCTCTCCAAAATACTGATGAGCAATGAAGTCGGTTTAAAGTGTGCCTGGTTCAGGCCATAGGCTTTCCAAACACTTGCTATGCATCTAAGAGCTGGATAATGAATAAGGACAACAGAAGAAGAATTGAGGCCTTGAGTCACGGTGTTAGAAAAGAGCACTGAACCTCACATGGACATGTATACTATAATAAGCTATAGAATCAAGTTCCACAGCAATCTAGACTTAAAAACAGGGCAATCTAGAGAATCCATCCAAATAATATAGTACTTATTTCTATCCTTTGCCTTTCCTTTTCTTCAAAACTGTTGGGTCTCAACAGCAAATTATTTTTTTTTATTTTATACTGAATTATTTACAAAGTTTGAATACATTGTTTTTCAAAAAAGATCCTTCCCATTTCCTTCACCCCATCCATCGAATTGGGCAACCCTATAACTAACACCCTACCCCCGCCATTGTAACCCCTCTACTCCCCCTCCCCCACCCTGAATTCTCATACTCATTCTACAATAATGGCTTTATACAGTATTTGTCTGTGTGGGACTGAGTTCATTCACTCAGCATAATGCTATCCAGTCCCTCCAAAGTTAGTAGTAATTTACAAAATCATTACTCCATGTGCTGTATAGTATTCCATTGTGTGAATGTACCACAACTTTTCAATCCATTCATTTGTGATTGGGCATCTGGGCTGTTCCCATGTTCTTGCGATGGTGAATAATGCTGCTATGAACATTGTTATACAAGTTTCCATTTGAGCCTCAGTTATCATATTCTTGAAGTATATTTCAAGCAATGGAATACCTGGGTCATATGGAATTTCTATGTTCAACTTTTTGAGGAAGGGCCAAACTGTGGTTGTACTGTTGTACAATCTCACCAACAATCAGTAGATTTTATGCTTCAGAATAAATCAGTGCATCATGGTATAACTGAAGAGTGGAAACTTTGGCTAAGTATCTCCGATTAGATCAAGCAATTGAAAAAGATATTTTCCTCTTGTTAAAAGTACTAACATGAATGGATTTAGACTTGTTTCATTAATAACTTAGGTAAATTAAATTGTTCCAATTCTACATTAACTGGCATCTTAAAAAAAACCTGCAAGACTATCTTCAGCAGATTAAACAATGGTCCATGTTTTTACACAATGCACACTACTGCAGGGTTGTTCCTGAGCCTCCTTGTAAGTAATTACAGTTTAAAAAAGAAATAAAATCTTCATGACAGTTACTTGATTCATTGTTTAAAAATAAATATAAATCTGTTAAAAAAGTCCTACTGACTTTCCTCATTCTCTTTGCAGTCAAAAGTTTTTATATTTATTTCTGGTTGTATGACTGCCAGGACATGGCTCTGTTTGTGTTTCTCTCCCTCTCCCTCTCCCCCTCCCTCTCCCT